GTCGGTTTCAGTCCCGTGTGGCTTAGTTTTTGCCCTCCCCTGCCACGTTTGAAACCCACAAAGCAAGAAATCTCACATTTCCTCATAACAGTTACACACCTCTTGTGCAAAAACATAAGAAGTACCTTTTACACAGTTCGGTGTAGTGGTTGAGTACACTGGGAGTGCTGGGTTTGATTCCTCCACTTGCACCTGGCTAGGTGACCTTGGGCAAGCCGTAGTTCTGACAAGAGCTGTCCTTGAAAAAGAGCAGTTTCTGTCAGAGCTCTCTCAGACCCACCTGCCTCACAGGGTGTTGGTTGTGGGGAGGGGAAAGGAAAGGAGTTTGTGAGCCGCTCTGAGACTCCCTTGGGTAGTGAAGGGCCATGGGGTATAAATCCAATCTCTTCTTCTCCTCCTCCTCCTCCTCCTCCTCCCTGGATTGCACCCAGGTCCCCTCAATGCCGTGCCTGTCACAGGAAACCCAGAGACCAGCTGCCACTGAACATCCCCACTCCCGACATTGGTCAGTGGTCTAACACTGAACTGTGGGCTGTCTTCTGCCGCTACTCCCGTGGCAAGGGGCACAGTGCCCCCCCCCCACAACTCTCCTTTTAAAGGGCTTGCGGCCAGTGCTCCCTCTAAGCTGTGGAGAGTCTTGGGAGCAAAAATTCTTCTTTGTGAGTTACTGGCGCATTAAAGTCATGAGCGAGTGACTGGGCTGCTGCATAAATTAGTTTGCTCCGGAGCCCTCCTTCCTGAGCCGAGACAAAAATGCCTGACTGAGCCAGAGGCTAAACAACTGTGAGCTAGCTCACACTCACTCAGCTTAGAGGGAACACTGCTTGCAGCACGATTCTGTTTTCACGGAGGCTGGTTATTCATGACATATCTTCCCATCCGGAGTGGCAAGGATTTGCATCTAAGCTGCCTACCGCAGTCTCATTCCCCAAAGGCCTTACAGCAAAAGGAAACAGTCGAGAAGAGCCAGAGACTAAAACGATTTGTGGCAGGGGAGGTACTTCTGTGGGTCATGGCTCACTTCTTCCCATTGGGGGCACCTTCCCTTTTGCTCTGCTCTCTCTGTGTGTGTGTTTGTCTCTTCTGTGGATCTGCCCACAGAAGTGGTAGTGGTGGGCAGTGGGCAGCTCCTAACTAAAAGCCTGGCAGAAGAGCTCCGTCTTGCAGGCTCTGCGGAATTGTACTAAGTCCTGCAGGGCCCTGATCTCCTCTGGGAGCTCACTCCACCAGGTAGGAGCTGCCACCGAAAAGGCCGTGGCCCTGGTAGCAGTGAGCCTGGCATCTCTAGGGCCTGAGATAGTTAGACGGTGTTGTGACCCCCGACTGCTCCGTTAGGAGTGTGGACTCTATTCCCCACTCCCCCTCCACATGCAGCCAGCTGGGTGACCTTGGGTCAGTCACAGTTCCCTCAGAGTTGTTCTCTCAAGGGCAGTCCTCAAAAGAGCTTTCTCAGCCCTGCTTACCTCACAAGGTGGCCTCCCATCCAAATACTAACCGGGGCGGACCACGCCTAGCTTCCATGATCTGAGGAGGTCGGGTTAGCCTCGGCCATCCAGGTCAGGGGAAGAGATGGACAGAGGTGGTTTGCCACTGCCTGCCTCTGCGTTGAGACCCTGGGCCTCCTTGCCGGTCTCCCTTCCACGTACTAACCACGGGTGACCCTGCTCGGCTTCCAGGCACCGCCAAACTCAGGCTAAACTTGTCTTTTCACGCTGCTATGATATGTTATGGTGAAAAGTTACATTTGAATTCCTTACCCTCAGCTTAGGGTGGGTGAAGCTCGAACGGCCCGATCCTGTCTACTCAGACCTTCGTTCAGTCACACTCGCTTTCAGTCCTCAACCCATTCTCTTGAAAAAGCAAGTCCTTTTTACTCAGCATAAAAGAAGTCCAATGGCACCTGAAAGACTAACACAATCTATGGCAGGGTAGAAGCTTTTGTGAGTGACCGCTCACTTCTTCAGCATGTCTTACTCACGAGTAAACATGGTGACTGGCAGTTTACAAGGGAAGGTCTCAAAAGAGTTCCCAGTGGGGAGTCTCCCAAAAGCAGGTAGATAACACACGGCAAGAGGCTGCTACCAGTTTTGGTGTAGTGGTTAGGAGCACGGACTTTAATCTGGGAGAACCGGGTTTGATTCCCCACTCCCCCTCCACATGCAGCCAGCTGGATTACCTTGGGTCAGTCACAGGTTCTCTCAGAGTTATTCTCTCAAGGGCTGTCCTCAAAAGAGCTCTATCAGCCCCACCTACCTCACAGGCAGTCTTCCCTCTAAGCTGAGTCAGTGTGAGCTAGCTCACAGTTTTTTAGCCTCCGGCTCACACGTTTTTGTCTTGGCTCAGGAAGGAGAGCTCCGGAGCAAACTAATTTATGCAGTAGCCACATTGCTGGCTCACAGCTTTAACGCCAGTAGCTCACAAAGTAGAATTTTTGCTCACAGGACTCTACAGCTTAGAGGGAACATTGGTCCACTCCATGTAGTCAGTATGAGCTTATGGAATGTTAACCTTTTCCTTATGTTAAGTCAATAGAAAGCAATAGATTAGGAAACTAGACTTCATTTGTTAAAATTTTAACCAAAAGATTCTTGCTTCTGACTTGTGTCCCCTGGTATGAGTCTAGCTCATGGCCTCATAGTGTCTGTGGGGGCTGACCTTCTTCCTGTGAAAGAGTCGTTCCCTCCAGAGCTAGATGACACCTTTCAGAAATAGAAGAGGAAAAGGAGAAATTGGATTTATACCCCACCCTTCACTCGGAGTCTCAGAGCGGCTCACAAACTCCTTTCCCTTCCCCTCCCCACAACAGACAGACACCCTGTGAGGTCGGTGGGGCTGAGAGAGCTCTGACGGAAACGGCTCTTTTTCAAGGACAGCTTGCCCTTGGTCATCCAGCCAGGTGCAAGTGGAGGAGTGGGGAATCAAACCTGGTTCTCCCAGATTAGAGTCCGCTCACTTAACCACTGGCTTCTGTAGATCAAGATGGGTCAACATGTTAGTCCGTCTGCTGCAGTAGAAAAGAGCAAGAGTCCAGGAGTACCTTAGAAGACTAGCAGAACTTGTGGCAGGGGAGGAGCTCTCGTGAGTCACGGCTCTCTTCTTCAGATACGGCTAGAATGTGAGTCCATCTGTCCTTGTATCACCAGGTTGATGGGTTTCCATCCTGTACGGCTCCCATGGAGCTAGATCAACCTCAGTAGCCATGTTAGTCTGTCTGCGGCAGTAGAAAAGAGCAAGAGTCCAGGAGCACCTGAAAGACTAACCAAATCCATGGCAGGGGAGGAGCTTTTGTGAGTCACGGCTCTCAAAAGCTCACCCCCTGCTACAAATTCTGTTACCCTTTCAGGTGCTCCTGGACTCCTGCTCTTTTCTGCCTTTCAGAGAGTCAGAGAGAGTTGCCTACGAGGTTGCCAGCTGTGGAGCCCTACTGGGGTGGCGTCCAATGCTCCCTCTAAGCTGTGGAGTCTTGTGAGCAAAAAGTCTATTCTGTGAGCCACTGGCATTAAAGTGGTGAGCGAGCCATTTGGCTCCTGCATCATTTAGTTTGCTCTGGAGCCATCCTCCCTGAGCGAAGAGAAAAATGTGTGAGCCAGAGGCTTGAAAACTGTGAGCTAGCTCACACTCACTCAGCTTAGAGGGAACACTGGGGGGTGTTTTGAGGTGGGCCGGAGGTGGCTGTGGCAGTTCACCTCCAGAAATGATCCCCTTTGGTTTCCCTCACAGTTGACTCCCAGTGCAAGATCCTGCGCTGCAATTCCGCATACGTGGCCTCCACATCCGACCTGCGTGGCCCCAACAAGAGCGCGGCCTACTGCAACGCTTTGCGCTCCTACGCCCGCTGCACCCGCCGGATGGCCCGCACCTGCCGCGGGGACCTCGCCTACCATTCGGCCGTCCACGGCATTGAGGACCTCATGGTCCAGCACGGCTGCTCCAGGGAAGGGCCCACCTCACCCCCACGGCCCCCCCAGCCGCCGGCCCCCAACCCCCAAGCCTTCGGATCCCCGGACTTCTGCGATTACGAGAAGCGGTTTGCCATGAAACATGGCCGGCCCCCTCTGTACCAGCACTGTGCTGCCTTTGGGGACCCCCACGTGCGCACCTTCCACGACGAATTCCACACCTGCCGAGTGGAGGGCTCCTGGCCCCTCCTGGACAATGACTACCTGTTTGCACAGGCAACGAGCTATCCCGTGGCGAAAGGGTCGAATGCCACGGCAACCGGCAAGGTAAAAGCAGTGGCTGCAAAACATTTGCATTCCCTCTGCACTGTTTCCCCCCCCCCCCCCCCCCCGTTTTTTTTTTTTTTTTTTTTTTTGTGTTTGTTTTTTTTTACTAAAACA